CAGTCATGACTTTTATTAAGTATACAGATGATCATAAGTATACGACAATGACGACAACTATAATGTTAGAAAGCATACGGTTTATCGCAATATCTACTTCGTGCCGCAGTTTTTTGCCCAAATTGCCCACAAATCTACGCCAGAATTGATGTAATCTAAGTCGCGTATGATTACTTCTTTTCCAGAGCTATGCAGACAAAAAGAGGAAGAGAACTTGAGCCGTCTCATTATAGTTCAATTTGACGTAAATCAATTTCACACCGCGTCCGGTTTGTTCTGCTCTATCCTTAGACAAACTTTGCATGATTTAGTGCCGGGTTTTTAGTCTGCTGCAGTCTGGAATGTTTTAACTAAATACAACTTATGTTCACCTCTCTGGCTGCTTTACGTTGAAAGCACATACAATTATTCCGTTCTGTGATCAGATCAGATGGTTATGCTATGCCCTCCCGCTAATTACCTATCCTTGTTTCACTTCTTCCTACCCACGCAGAAAAATGTTGATACGATAGTGATAGGCTTGATTAAAATCATGTAATCTTATCAGGTTCGGAGTCACACGTCCATTCAGATTTTTGTGAAAGCGCACATGTTTTGAAAAATCTAGACTACCTAAAAGCTGGCAGTCAACCTACGTTCGCCGATTGGCCTAATTTTGAATATTAACTACTTTTCTCTTATTTTTTGAGTAATAGTAAAGTTAGTGCACGTCATACTACTTGTAGTGATTGATTTCAGTGTGAGTTAAGCTGTAGCAGCACAAAATTCAACGCCCACATGTATTAAGCGTCGGTTGAATTATAGTTATTAAATGTCCTCTGAGCGAATCAGAATTGGTCTTTCTTCCAACACACACTTAAAGACAAGGTTTTCTTTCGACTGATTTTAATAATCGACTAGAAGACAGTAGAAAATGTTTTCACGAAAATGCTTCACAAGCATAGGATATTCTCTTTCGAATTCTAAAATTAGTCGACCTAGACAGTGAACGTTTCTTTGTTCCTGATTTTAGACTGTTTCCGTACAAGTATGTCAATATGCGTCGAGAAACCTTATTTTAGACAAGGTTTCGGTAGCAAAAATACAGAGTTTCCTAGCCTCATAAGTTTTATCTTTTGTTTTTCTGCGAAGGGCCACTTCGAAAAAATTGTCGTTTTAATTGTACGTTTGCAGCATTCGAGTGCACTAGGTACACAGTTGGCAGGAAGTATTGCTCAGACCAATGCTTGGGCCCGGTGCAAGAAAGTGCATGTGGTTTACCTACGGAGAAAGCTCTTTAGGTGCATTCGTATGTACGGCGCGTGAGACAGTAGTCAGTACAGAAAGATGATATCTATCGATAATTCAATGAGAAAACCCTTTTCTCAGCCTCACACCTTGGAGTAGGTACTATCATTCAACATCTTTTCGGAACATATTTTGAGGCTCGATTAGACTGAAATAAATCTAGGCTCAGTTTCATCTGAATGGTAGGAAAATCAGAATGTAATTGCATTGTCGTTCCTACGTGTTCCTCCGATAAACTGATCTCTCAATCAAGCGTTGTGTCCTTTTATGTACAAGAACGTTCATCAAAGCAGTTTGTTGTTATCCCCGTGTAAGATTACATGTTTAATTTCTGTATGTTACATTGTTCATAATTAAGAGGATTCTGTCATTTAATGCCCTCCCTATCGTTTATTCTGACAAACAAACATTAAAGCAACCGCATTCATTTAATCCACACGACTACGTCGCCAAAATTTCTAATTCAGGCTTACGTTCTGTCCACTAAAAAGCGAAATGGATCCTATGGATGTTAAATCCCCGTTTGTTGCAACTGATCATACTTACCACCGAAAACAGGAGACAAAAATGTTGGAAACCAAATTCGCTCGCATCGCCATCAGTACAGTTTTGAACAAATCACTGATTAAGCCTTATCTATCAGCCTTATTTGACTTACGAGAGGCTGTCGATGCTGTAGTCTGTATACCTAGCATTGAGATCGGACCCGATATCTTGAAAAACTGACTGTGTAAGTAGAATATAAACGATTTTTCTACAAAAAAGCCTTTCGGAAGGTATGAAAACGTTAAAAGACCTTTTTTAAATGTGGAAGGCATAGTCTGGCTCCCGAGAATCCGGTCACTGACTTAGTTGAACATAATGGGTGGTAGGATCCATCCCTGTCGAACGGCACAGCACATTTGCAACATCTGGAATATATTTTTATCAGTCAAAACTTCTGTAGGGATGGGGCAATGGTAGGCCCTGTTTATGGCAATAATTTTTGCCGACTCATAATCTCGTTCCAGTACCCCCAACAGGGATTCGCAATGGATGGAATTGAACGCAACGGCAAGGTCAGCAATACAGATAACCTTCGGTTGCTAGTAGCCGTTGACGAATTCTAGAATTGGCCTTAGTGTGAATATAGGCTCCGCGATCTCTAAACCCAACTCGATATCTATCTTGATCGGTGGTTTGCTCCAGGATGCTGCAGAGCCTGGAATCGTCTGAGAAGATGAATGCCAAAGAAGTATGTGTAAAAGTCGATGGGGCTTGTGTTGTGGTACTTTTGCATTTATTTTATCTGTCCTCTCGAAGAAAAGACAAAGATACCCAAACCCCAGAAACCACATAATCTCTCCCACACCTGCACCTCACGGAGCCAGAGCGCCAGTGTTAACACAAGATTTCAGTAGGAATAGTGTAATCTCCTGATGTATTATTGTTCTGTGGCTTCCTTTTCGCTTCAGCGGGCGTTTCACTAGCACGGCTTTTATTTAAGACCGTCAAAACTGTCTTCTTTATGTCGACCGCATAAAATTGTGTTCATGAGTTTACAAATAATTACTGATAAGGTTGCACTGGCGTTCGCAGACATTTGGCAAAGTGATCAGCTCACCATCTGTAAAAATGGTTGCGGATCGCAGAAATCAAAGTATTGACGAGAGCAGTCACGAAACAGATACTAGGCATTGATCACCTGATAGATAAAACAGTCGCGTTTGGGGTTCTCATTGATGCATGGGCTGGGTGCCTCTTGCGCTACTCTGGGGTCACATTGATGTAGAGGAAAAAGTCGGCCCCCGTACTCAATCTCGTATTGCAATGGTAGTAGTCTGTGACGAAGATAATACAACTCGCATCTTCCGTTTTTCATCTTACAAGTCCATCCCAAAAGGCTGATTATCAGTGTTCCGTGCTGTATAACTACAACCACGCTGGCCTCGTTTTTACTGCCATCTCCATTGGCTTACCCCACCGCAACAGTCTCATCCACATATCTGTCTAAAGCTTGCTGCCCGTCCTGTTTGGTCCTGTTTTTTTGCGTTGTATTGCTGGTTATAACAATATTTGTTGGCCTGCTTGAAAAGTTATGAGGTCATCAAATTTTCGATGTTTTGTCACCTTCGCCTTGTTTTCATTTACACCTAAAGAGCATGGCTTAAACTCTTGTTTTTCGGTCAGCATTATTGCGATGGAGGAAGAACCAGGTGATTTGCCCTCCTCAAGTACAGTACCGCGTCCTGATTCGCCTATCTCCGCCCCACTTACCTCAGAACCGGTTCTTGGCGTTCTTGAATCATCAACCTCTAATTCTCAAGCAGTCGCAAATACCGATGCTGGTGACAATATTTCGACCTGCTCTTCTGATCCATGTGCAGCTGCGCATACTTCGTCTTCACGATCGTCTGTGCAAATGGAGCCCAACCAGAATGAGCCTAATGGTCAGTAGAAAATCCTTCGACTGATAAGTTA